ATAACATCTGTTTTTGAAGTAATTATTCCATAACACTCTATAATTAAGGAATGACAGAAAAGCGCTGGATTAAGCGGCAGCCCACACATATAATGGACGACTCAGATATGTCTACTCCCTGCCAAACTATAAAGACTTGGGATTCCCACACGCTTGGATCAGTGACAACCCCGCTGGGGCATGTTGCCGTTGTAAGGACTGAGGAATGGTGGGATCGGAGAGGTCATGACCTAATCCGAGGGATCTTTCATATCTCACTTTTAACTCAACTGATTGACAGCAGTGCAATATTCTGCAGTAGAAGCAGAGCAGATATACTGCAGTCATAGATAGAGGTATAAAAATAATCGTACAAACGAATCACGTCATTTTACTTGTTTTTGGGCCTGAACAGTCAACAGGCGGATCAGTCCATCCCAGTTTCATGAAGCTTAGCCCGAGTCCAGTGAGCACGCTAGTCCCCCTGGATTGTTATCGATACTTATGATTGTATTTTGAATAGGAGTCCAAATATATATACGAATTTCTATTCACCACACTAACCTGACCTGACACAAAGCGAACCATCAAAAAATTAGTGGTCCAGTGAAAATAAGGTTAGTTGTCATCCTTTGACCAAAAAACAAACGCGGGAAATAAAAACATTGGGTTTAGTTAGAAGGGCAGACTAAACACGGCAGTAGGTACACTTGCACTACACGCGGTCTTGCACTAAATTTCAGGGGAATCAGCGCCTGGAGCACAAACGCACATCCACCGCCATAGCTTCAACTCCCGGCATTGCCTTCGCTATCGCATTGGCCTACTCGGTCAGATGCACCTGCGCGAAAATCGGTGTAAATCACCACAGACTAGAACACATCACCACGCATTCCCCCATCCACACTTGCACCACATATGAACACCTCCAAAATCTCGGCACAAATACCTCTCATGAAGTAAGGAGTTTGTTCTTCGGCTTCTCTTCCATGTAACTCCTCTGACATACGTGAGATCCGAACTGTCTATCCCCTTATGTGTATAATCCTAGTAGCGTTTAGAAAGACAGGTCGCGTATGTGACGAACTGACGGGCTCTCTAGCTTTGTTAACTACTGAGTCCACCTCTTCTTCAGAGAAATGACAGGCTTGCACAGTGGGCTGGAGCTTGGAGTGGAAGGTGAGGGCGAGACCGACTCTCAGTACATATTCTTCATTATAAACAACCTGACGAGCTTTAATATTTCACGATGAGCTAAAAGCCGCGCTGTGGAAGGCCGTTAATATACGGCACAACTCAGTCCTCCTTAGAGGACGGAAAATCAGGCTGCAGTGGCTCCTTTTTAATGTGGCGTTTATGGTACTCCCACCCAGTTCGAATCCGAGCCTTCACCCTCTTCTCTTGGCGCGGGTTTTTACCGTGCCAGCCACCTGCACCCACTCTTTCACCTAGTCTTTTTGGGTCTGCCATGATATCAGGTCTTGGTGGAGGAGAAGAAAGTGCAGTAGGCTCCGTGCAAGTCTACAATCATTATAGAAGAACTCACTCGTATGTGACCGTCCCTGCTCCCACCGTGCTGTGGAACACACGGTGAACATTGTCGACAACGACGGTCAAACTGTCAGTGGTGGTGGTGGTGGTGGTGGTGATGGTGGTGGTGGTGGTGGTGGTGGTGGTGGTGGTGGTGGTGGTGGTGGTGGTGATGGTGGTGGTGGTGGTGGTGGTGATAATGATGGTGTTGGTTTTGGTGGTGGGTAGGGGTGTAGCGTATCTGGTCAGGGGACTTACCGTATAGGTGAGGTTAATCGCATCATATTAGTGGTGACTATTCCGCATGGTCATTAATTGCTACAATTTACAGCTGCGGTTCTCCTGAGTTAGGCTCTGCCTAGCGCCACACCCCCGTGACCACTTCGACCACCAGTCGAAATATAACGTGGATATCCGGTGATGTGTGTTCTCCAACCCGGTAATTGTGCTCCCCTTTACATTTCACCTTCCCTTCCCACTTTCAAACATTTCTTCTGAGAGGGCGGCATGCAATGCCGTAGGCGGCCCAGACTAGCCCGGGTCGCTCGCCCACTAAGCCAAGCCGTGACCGATAGTGGAGTGCGGCAGCGGTCTGAGAT